TCAGAGCATTAAGGAATAGAAAAATCGTAATGAATCTTTTGATGCTATAACTCTGAGTAATATTTATTATGCAATTTTGAGACCCAGAAGTAAAAATAGTATGAATATTCAAAGGGTCACTATAAAACAATTTTAAGTATAAAAACAGTGATATAACATTTTTCAGAACAAATCTAGCATCTTAAGGAAACTTAGTTATAGTAGTATTGGACTAAAATTAAACATGCCAGGAAATAAAGAACCTTTCCAAAACTTCCATCCAGTAAAGGGCAGTGCCATGCACAGACTTTAGCATTGGTGTATTGTTCAGGTCTGTTCTTGGGGTCAAGGGCAAAATTAGATCTGAGATCCATTTCCTTGAAACAAGAATTACAATGTCCAAGTCCACTGCTAAAATGCATATAGTGCTAACAGAGAGGGTGATGAAGAAATATGGTCTTAGAAAATTGGTGCTAGCAGGAGTTATCTGCTATTCTGAAAGGGGTTGTTTCAGGTCAAACAGATAAAAAAGAATGGGATTAGGGATCAGACATGCTTTGCAGGATTATGAGCAGGATCTATTATGGGGGCAGGAGGAATATGACTGAACACAAATTTTCATGTTCAAAGTAATGCAGCTTTCCCTCAGGCTAGCCCCTGATAGGTTTAATTATTACCTTTCAATATTGTTTTTTTCATGATGATTTGTAATTAATTCTAGAATAGTGACATTGAACCTAAGATTTTCATTTTGTCAGGGAAAGGGAAAGAAATCCCAGGACATGTTGAAGGTAAAGAAATGAAAAGGAAGGATTTATCTCTGTCAATTCTCAATCATACTTGGTGGCAACCTACTTCATTTCCAGAGAACAGACAAAGTGTTAGACCAGGACGCAAGAAAAGACCACTGACTCCAATTAAAATCAAATTAAAGCAAGCTTATTATTTCGACCGGCCAGGCTGCCTCTCCCACCCAAAACCGCAGGAACAAGAAAGCAGCCACASCTTTCCTGCAGCCCAGCTTTATAGCCCAGAAAGTTACACAAATGGGKGTTACAGATAATAGAACTCTGACGAGCATAACACTAATGGTAGTTTACATTTTTGCTGACCCCGACATCAGAATTTATGAAGGTCATTAGAACCTCAGAGAGAGTCGTTATCTGGCCAGGGAAGGCCAAGATTTGTGAGGCATCACTAAGGTTTCAGAGAGGGCTGCTATCTGGTCAGAGAGCCAGGCATGGGTGAGTTCAAGGCACATGCAGGCATTCCAAGCAGGTTCAGAATTTGCAGTAATTTGTAGTGTAAGGGTCCGGCGGAGTGTTGGAGGAAGAGACCACACAAGAGACTGACTTCATGCAATTGGCATAGGGGATTTATTAATTCAGCATGCTGAGGTTCCAGGCTCACTCAGGAAGATAGAGCAGCCCAGAGCCCAGAGCAGAGGTCAAGCAGAGMTTAAGTACACTTTTTGGAGAGGGCGGGGGGCTTTGCATACATCAGAACAAATCATCATGAGGCGCGGGAAAATTGAACAACAACTCTGAGACATGATTAGTACATTCATTGGTGGGAACAGTCTGGGCAGGGGTGATTGGTCACTYCTAAGCGGGGTACACATTTAAACTGATTGGTTTTGRGGCCTGGATGCCTACGTGCCGAGCTACTTGGAGCCCTTAGCTATTAAACAACCAGGGGACCAGGAGAAATATTTACTGGGCAGTTCAGGTATTGTCCTAACAGCTACAGGGATTACAGGTTCCCGGGGGTAGCAGAGGAATTTTAACAATACCTAGTCTTTTACTTTTTAGCCCAGGCCTTGCAATTTAGAAACTTTACAATGCCCAGTCTTTTACACTTTAACTCAGGCTTTTTCAGCTTAGAATCAGCTTAGGAATTTTACCTTTACAATAGTAAAGCCGAAATTATCTTTTCATGGCTTTGTGGCGAGATGGCTCCCAATTTTAAGAAAAGATCAGGTTGGGTCTATCAAAAGGAAGGAAATATGGAATAAATTTCTTGAGTCATTTTATGAATGACCTTTATGTTGAGAAGAAAATAGATATTCGTTGTTATGCATAGCTCTACATCATAGTATAATCACATGCCTCTTACCTTCAATTTGCCCATAATTACCTAGTAAGTCTGATGATGAAATCGTTTATTATTTGAGAGATAATATGATTCAAAAATAAGAGGTGACATCCTTTACAGAGAAGTCAAGAGGTGTTCTAGATCCACTTGTTCTCTTAGCGCTAAACTATGTCAATTACCAAATTTCTCTGTGTGTCAGATCACTTTTTTGTAAAATTAAAATGAAAAAAAAATCTTCAATTGTTAGGAATCAAGTGGAAAAATCAACATGAAAGGGCTTTGCAAAATATAAAGTTCTACATTGATAAGTCATCATTTAATCCTGTTTCTGTCCCCAAAGGAAGTTAAATTTGCATTACACTAATTTATCTACTTCCTCTCAACCAGCCCTCCAAGAGAACAACTTTTGTCATTCATTTGTAAAATAGATGTCCTAAATTAGGGGTGTGGCAGACTAAAACTACTGTCAAAAAGAAGTGGATCTGTAATCACTTTGGTTAATGAGATCACATAAGGAAACAAGTGGTCTAACTGCCCTTATATTGTAGTCATTCCTCATTTTATTGAACTTCACTTATTGCACTTCACAGATACTGTGCTTTTTGAAAATGTTTTTATTAGGGAATTTTAGTTATACATAATGTTGGGGTTCATTTTAACATAATTATACAAGCATGAAATTTAATTTGCTCCAATTCAATCCCCAGGACTTTTCCTTTTCCTCCCTTCTCCTACCCCTTGTTCTCTTTCCTTTATTCTATCAGTCTTTTTTCAATTTATTAAGTTTTTTCAATTAGTCAGATTAACATTATAGATATGTTACAATGAATTTCACCTGTGTGTGTGTATCATGCACTGTTTTTTTAAACAAAGGATTTGTCTTGTTAGTGACTAATATAGCCAGTGACTTTAAGTTGAAGCTGAAAGCATATTTGTTCCTCCAAATACTCTAGGGCTTATGTGAATATTGAACCTATTCTACTTTTTMTCTATAAATGGATCAACAATGTCTAGATGATAGAAGATCTGTTAACAACATGGTTTGTTCACTATTGAGATTTACTGCTCTGAAAAAAAGATTCCTTTCAAAATATTTCTGCTCTTTAACAATACAACTGGTCACCCAAGAGCTCTGACAAAAGATGAACAATGAGGGCTGGGATTGTGGCACAGCAGCAGAGAGCTTTCCTGGCACAGTGTGGGGGGGCAGTGGGGGGTGGAATAGAGGACGGGAGCCTGGTTCAATCCTCAGCACCACATAAAAATAAAGGCATTGTGTTGTGTCCATCTACACCTAAAAAATAAATATTTTTAAAAATGAACAATGAGATTAATGTCTTCATGCCTGCTAACACAAGATCCATTCTTCAGCCCAGGGAACAAGGAGTCATTTTGACTTTCGTGCATTTATGATTCATGGGGTCCGGTGTTAAGAAAAAGTCAACATCAACAAGTTTGAAAGAAGTTGATTCCAACTCTGATGAATGACTTTGAGGAGTTCAAGACTTCTGTGGAGGAAGTATCTGCATATGTGCTGGAAATAGCAAGGGGATTAGAATTACAAGCAATGCCTAAGATGTGACTACTCCTACAATCTCATGATAAAACATCTGTGCATAAGTAATTGTTTCTTATGGATAAATGAAGAAAATGGCTTCTTTAGATGAATTTACTCTGGAGAAGATGCTGTGAACATTGTTGAAATTACAATAACAAAAGATTCAGAATATTACTTAAAGTTAATTGATTAAGCCACTGCAGGGTTTGGGAGGATTGACTACAATTTTGAAAAAAAGTTCTGTGGATAAAATGCTACAGCATTGCATACTGCAGAGAAATCTTTCATGAAAGAGTCAAATGATGCAGCAACTTTATTGTTGCCTTATTTTAAGAAATTGCTGTAGCCACTCCAACCTTCAGCAACCACCTCTCTGATCAGTTAGAGCAGCTTCAACATGGAGGTACGCCCTCCACCAGGAAAAGGATTATGCTGCACTGAAGGCTCAGATGATCATTAGCAATTTTAACAGTAAAATATTTTTAAATTAAGGTGTTTATGTTTTTTTTAGACAATGTTATTTTGCACTACAAAGACTATAGTGTAAATATAATTTTTGTATGCACCAAAACAACAACAACAAAAAAAACTTATGAGACTCTCTTAATTGCAATATTCACTTTATTGCTGTCTGGAACGGAACCTTCAGTAGATATGCAGTATGCTTTTACAGGATTTGAATTGTATGAACACCTAGAGGTTCACTATTACCATCTTCTATGTCCAATCAGTTGATTCTAATTTCTGTAATGTCACTAGATTGATAGCATCTAATAGGTGCAAGAACTCAGTGTTGTCAAGAGTGAACAGATGTCTTACACCTGGGGGTTACCAGAGATACAAGGAAGAAAAATGAACTATTTTTATGTGGAATGAGCTCTGGTGATTCTAATATTGAAAACCATTCCATAGAGAAAATTTTCAAAGGATATACAGGGTGCTTACCAAAGACAAGATTAAAAATTCCATTGAAAATTTGAAAGGAAGAATTTGTTTAATTGAATGGTAGTATACTGAATTCACCTTTATAGTTAAAATCACATCTCTACACAATTTACAACTGGATCTCTAGTTTAACATATTGCCCATGATTACCATATTTATCTGTATTAATTAAGGTAAACGAATTACACCTATCCCCGGTTTGCCCCGTCCACATCTGCTAATAARCCCCGCCTTCTGCTTCGGGATTCCAGCCAATCCTGTATTTCATAACATCCTTGAGCAGAGCTATCGCGAGACTCTCGCGGTAGCCTTAGATGGGCTTTAACTGAGTGGACTTGCGCAGAATAGACGCATGAAGCCAGAGCGGGACACAGGGGGCGGGGCGCTCCGACGTGCGCGTTCACTTTGACCCCACGCTCCAGCGCGCACCCGGCAGCCGGGCGCTGTGGTTTCTGGGCCCCCCTGTGAAAGCCGACSCTACCCAGCATACCGCGCGCGTGCCCACCTTAGGCGGATGTTCAGTGGGCGGCGAATGCCTGCTGGGGGTCTGCAAGGGCATTTGAGGGACCCGGGTCTAGTGCAGAGAGACTCGAGAGGCTTGGATAACCAGCCGAGGTAGGTGCTTGGGTGATAGAGGGTCAGGGGTCAGAGGTTGCGGAGGGAAGACGTCTCTGGCCTCCCAGGGCCACGGAGAGAGGACTTGGGTGTCCCGGACCTCGGGAAGCGCCAAGGGCTGAAGGGGAACGGCAGCGCGAGCCTCCCGGACCCCATCCTCTTCCCGGACTTGCGGGCCTCCGGACCGCAGCAGCTTTCTCGGGGGCTGGCGCGGGGCGTGGGAAAGGTGGCCATTCTTCTCACCGTGGATTGGGGCCTGCGGTGTGGGGTCGAGACCACGCTTCACTGCCAGAGGGGCGGTAGTCGCGGTCGGCGGCCTCGGGGTGGCTTTTTGCCCAGCTTGCTAGGAATGGTCGGCTGCTTCCAGCGCCGCTCCAACTCCTGTAACCTCTTTTGCTTCTTTTGGGAGGATAACTGGGTATCTTCGGATACTTACCTATGCCCCCTGGAGGCTGGCACTGGGCAGCCTCCCGGCTTCTTGGTGTGCGGGATTGTGTAGAGTTAAAGGGGAGGCAGGGACTTCCAAGTTCGTCTGACTGAAAGCTCTGTTACCTTTGGAGTTAGATTAATTACATTGCATTGAAAATCGCTCTTGTACATTGTGCATTTGTGTTAGCTAGGTTCAKGAAGGAAGGTGTGATTGTATCTGATGATTGACGATCCCTGTCAGATATACATTATTATTAAATCGTGGCAAGTAAACCTGAGCTCTTTTCTCAAGCAGCTCGGCATTTGCATGAGGTAGGAACCCTAGATGTTTGATGTTTTCCTACTTGTACTTAAATTAACTTGAGACTGTCACTGAACAAAATAACATAATTTTGAAGTTGTTACTGCTATTTTTAGTTTTTCCAGTGGGCGATAGCAGGAATGATGACACTCCCTTGAGTAGAAGTGATCCATAATATCTGTACTGTCAAATTGTGGTAATACTGGATTATTAAGAGATTTCAAGTCCTTTGTAACAACTGGACTTTGTTTGCCTAAACCAACACCTTGGGCAGTGAAATGGCAAATGTATATTTCTAGTTGTCCTTGATAGCCTGAGTCATGGTCTGTTATGGATTTGTTGTAATTCAGGATTTGTTTATCATTGAATGAAGGAATAAATCATTTGGAGGGGAATTTTTTAAATTTAATACTCATTTGTTATGTTCTCTTAATAACAGTTTATTTACTTTTTTAGCAGTCCCTCTTATTTTCGTTAAAAGATACAATTTGTTCAGTTTTTTTAAATTTTTCCTGTCTCATTCTGGGACAGAGATAGCAAAGAATAGTTTTTCTATTCTCTGAAGTCTGATAGAATGTGAATTAAAGAGACTTCTCAAAAAAGAAATGTGAATAAAGTACTGTAGATCCTTATAATGAAGGAAGATAGGAAGTTAGAGATCTTTGTTTCACCTTGTTTTTGTATATCATTTTTATCCTGGCACTGACCTGGCTTTGGAGGTAAAATACTGAATAAGATACTATTCTTAGTCAACTTTCAAGAAATTCATAGTGAACCCTGGAGCAATTAGAATGAAGCATGAGAGATCCTTAAGTCAATTTCCTCAGTCATACATGGCAGGAAGGCTTTCTGGAGAATATAGGACAGCCACTGGGAGGAAAGTGTGAGAGGGTGTTTACATCAAAAGGCTTTTTGCATTTAAATGCAGGACAGTAAAAGTGTGACCCATACAGAAAACTTCACATAATTACATTTTACCCAAATACTAATATTTATGGAGGGTGAAGAAGTAGAACAATCAAAGGTCTGATTCAAAAGGTATGAAGACACATGGAAAAGGAAATGGGATTGGGTTACAGATGTATAGAATTTCACCAGTACTTATTAGCTGATGATTATCTTTGACCAAAAAAAAATCTTTGGTTTAAGACATTATCTCTGGATAGAGATTCCTTAGGGAAAGAGTCAACCAGATATATATTTTTAAATCATGAATTTTGCTCCATTGAGAACTGAACAAAGGGAGAACATGCAAAAATGCCTAGTATTTACTTTTCTCCAATTTAATTATTATCGTTGATAAATAACTGAGACTCTAATGTTAGGGAAATCAGGTTGAAGTCAAACCTGTAAAGGAATGTACAAATTATATTGGCATACATGATTTCAAAGACACTGAATGGGTCTTACCAGAGAATGAATTAGTAGTTGAAGGAATGTGTTCTTGGTATACAAGTTTATTTTAAGAAATGTGGGCACAAAAAAGACAAAAATTTTAAAAATGACACATTGCTTCTATTCATATTCCATTGGCTGGAACTAGTTATGGTACCTTACTAAGCTGGGCAGCCATATCCCAACTAGTCTATACTTTGGAAGGAAAGAAATGGATTTCAACAGGCAACTAGTTATACCGAATAAGGTTTCTCCATTTTGGCAACTCAGTGGAATAGGAAGCCTAAAACAGTAATGAGGATAGTGCCTGTGTCTTATCCCCAGACATTCTGATTTAATTGATTGGGTTACAACCTAGGATTTTTTTTAAGAGTTCTAAATGTGCGGCTAAATTTAAGAAGCACTGATTTATGGTCCCCATCCAAATTCAGTTGTAGTAAAGTGTAGTTTAGAAGACTCTGAGGATGATAATGATAACATCTACCACATTGTGAATACGTGCTAAACTTCTGTTACTGTTCTGTTGTACTTCATTTATTTATAACTACAATCTTGCTGTCATCCCCATTTTAGAAATGAGAAACTGTCATAGAAAGGKTAGTTTACTATTTCAGTGACACATAGTTGGTAAATACCAAAGCTGGAATTAGAATCTAAGATTTCAAAACTCAGATTTTTTTCTGTGAGCTATATTACTTTGCAGATGTCATTGTTTTTTGGACCTTCATAGTTTGGTTTCATAGTGTGTGATATGTTCTGTGAATGTTGGTTACATAACTGTATACCACCCATTTATCAAAACTCTTCAAATTGTACTCTTAAAATTTTATATGAAAATCATACCTAAAGTTGATTAACTTTATTAAGTGTGTGCGATACATTTTTGGTCCAGTTTCCTTCAACCCATATCCATGCTCTTTGCCGTATACAATTCCACCCAGTAAAGAAGTGCAATAGATTTCCCTACATCTTAATTTTGTATCCATCAATGTGATTTGTTTTAGGTCATGGAACCTTAGTGATTTTGATGTATGAAGCACTTTGAAAAGTACTTGTGTGACTGGATTTGTGTTCTTACACCTCAACCATTGCCATATAATTGTTCCTGAGGTACTTCTTCTATCTCAGGAGGAGAATAAAAACTACGTAAGCAGAGCCAGACTCCTCCTAGAAACCTATCTTACATCAGCCACCCTCAGGTAACCTATTGATCTGTGAGAAAAAATGATTTGCTGTTTCAAGGCATTGAACTTTGGGGTGTTGTGTTATATTGCATGTGTGTGGTGGCAGTAATTAACTGATAAGCTGGTATAACCAAACTTACTAGGGTTCTAGTTGAGTGACTCAGTTTCACATTTTCAGCATGTGTTCTGAGGAGAATGTGACAACAATTAATGCTTAGGAAATTAGGGGCTTTCTATGTATTATTTCTCCAAGATAAAAGAAGATGGTAAAAAAGTCATTAACTATTGTCAGAGACTGATTATAATCCATCACTTGTGCATTCATAAACTAAGCATTGTCTAATGTGAATGACATTTTCATGATTGACTTAGATTAGCACTGTTTGATAAACTTTTTGCTATTTGAATGTTTTATGCCAGTAGTTACATTACATATGGCTACCAGGTACTTGAAGTGCGACTGGTGAGACTGAGGAGCTGAGTTTTTAATAATACTTTTATTTATTTTAAGTTGAATTCTACACATAGCTTGTGTTACTTAGCTGGGCTTGGTTTAGCCAATAGTAGACAAAAACTACTTCCTTGGAGCTGCTGTGGATACCATCCTTCTTTGAGTTACAGAGCCACTATGTTCCTAAATAAATGTTCTGTCAGCAAGGAAGTGGGGATAAATCAGGTAGATAATTACTTCTGATTCTTTTATGGTTATTGGTCTATTCAGATTTTCTGTTTCTTGGGCCGATTTGTTCATTGTAGATTGTTAGGAAATTATCTGTTTTATCTAGATTTTTTAAGTTTATTAGGAAAAAGCTGCTCTTAATATTCTCTGATAATTTTTAATTCCTGCATCTTTTTTTTTGCTTTTTAAATCAACTTTATTAAGATATAATTTACATATTATAAAATTTTATTTTAAGACTATAATTTGATGAGTTTTGATAAATATATATGCTATTTATATAACCACCATTCATAAAACATTTCTGTTATCCCAAATCTTTCCCTCCTGCTCCTTTGCTATCAGTTACCTCTTTCCAATTTCTGGCTCCTGGTAATCACTAATCTGCTTTATATCACTACATTTTAACATTTCTTGACTTTCATATAAGTGGAATCATACAGTATGTAGTCTTTGACAACTAGCTTCCTTTACCTTCTTTAATGCTTTGAAATTTTACCCATACTGTTGTATACATCATAGTTTGTTTTATCCTTTAAGGCTACTGAAGATTGAACCTAGAGTCTTATATGTGCTAGATAAGGGCTCTACCGCTAGCCTTATCCCATCACRATTTGTTTATTTTTATCATAGAATAGCATTCCATTGAATGAATATGCCACAGTTTGTTATCTTCTTCAGCAGTTGATGGATATTTGGATCATTTCCAATTTTTTAGCTCATTTAACATTATTAGATTCTGACAAACTTTTCCAAAGTGACCATGTTATATTAAAATATTTGAGAGTTCAATTTCTCATATCTTCAGTCTTTTAAATTTGAACATTCTAGTATATAGTGGCATCTCATTGTGATTTTGTATTGATTTTATATTGTTGTAATGACTTAAGATGGTGAAAACAGTTTCATGTGCTTATTTGCTACTTTTAGATCATCTTTGGTGAAGTGTCTGTTCAAAATTTTTGCCCACTTTTTAAAGATAAAATGGTATTACTCCAATTTGTTTTATTGTTTATTTGCAGGAGTTCTTATATATTCTGTAAATAAATCCTTCATCAGATATTGTTTTGCTAATATCATCTCCCATCTGTGGCTTKTCTTATTTCCATAACAGTAACTTACGAAAAGCCAAAGTATTTAATTGTAATGAAGCTTAATTTATCATTTTTAATAGTCTCAGATTCTTTTTGTGTGTGTGTCCTTTTTAAAATATTGTGTCTTTTTTATTATTATTATTTTTACCTGACTCAATGTTACTTGATTTTCTACTAGGAGTTTTCTAGTTTTAGCTATTTATTCTAGTTTATCATCTATTTTGACTTAACTGTTACATATATTATGTAGTAAGCCTCTAGGTTCACTTTTTTTTTTTTCATATGGATACTCATTTATTGAAAGGGATATACCTTCCCTTTTGATTGCCTTTGAACTTCTCTCAAAAATCAATTGACCATACATATGTGGGTCAGTTACTAAACATTTTGTCTTTATTCATGGGTATTATGTCTGTCTTTACACTATTACCACAAGACTTATTGTTGATATAAGTCTTGAAATAAGTGTAATTCATTCAACTTTATTCTTCTGTTCCAAAATTTTTGGTTCTTCTAGATGCTGGGCATTTCAGTATAATTTATAGAACCAGTTTGTCAGTTTTTTTCAAAGAAACTATTGGCATTCTGAATGGTATTACTCCAATTCAATAGATTAATATTAAGGAATTGATATGTTGATATTTTGAGCCTTTCAGTCCATGAACATAATATGTCATATGATAATTATATTACTGTACTCTTTTATCTATTTTTACRTTTGCTGGAAAGTTTTTAGAATAATTTTTTAGATTAAAAAGTCAGTTATATCTTAAGTTTGGAAACAAAAATTATAGTTACAGATACTTTTTATTTCTGCTTTTTGTTTTAWTACGTAGACCTACATTTCTGTCTAATATCATGTTTCTTCTGACTGAAAACAACTTCTGACATTTCTTATAGTATAGGTCTGTAGGTAATCAATTCTTTTGGTTTTTGTCTTTTTTATCTTCATTTTTGAAATATATTTTGCTGGGTTTAGGATTCTAGGCTAGGAGAAATATCAAAAGCAGAGATAAGACTAATCTGGAGAGATGATGCTTTTCAGCAATTTAATTATGGTATACCCTGCTGCTATTGTAGTTTGTGCTTGTTGTTTTTAAGGTTCTTGTAATTTGCCCTTACTGGTTTTCATTAAGCCTTTTGATTTTCTGGGTTGATTGTGTTCTTATCAGATTTTGAAAATTTTCTTGCATGGTTTTTTTCAACTGTTTTTCTTACCTTCACTCCCTTTCCTGTTAGATTCCAATTGCATCAGTGTTAGACAGTTTTAACATTTTCTAGTAGGTCCAGGTGCTCTGTTTGTTGTTTTTAGTGTTTGTTTATGCCTTTAATTCATTTTCACTACTTGCTGCTGTTACTGTGTTTGAATCCACTCTGCTTTTTCCCCCATGTCTTTCTGCTATTGGCCTCTTTTCATTTCAGATGTAATTTTTCCATCTACATATCTTCCATTTCTCCTCATTATTGTCGTGTTTTCTTCTACTTTCTTGAACATATTCAGAATATTTAGATTAACTGAATGTTTATATCTGGTAATTGTATCATCTGTGTAATTTCTAGATCTTTTTTTCTTTCTTGTCATGGTTCTTAACTGTTTGTTTTGTTTTGTTTTATGCCTGGTGATTTTTTTTTTTGACATTTTGTTCAATTTTATGTTTTGTTTTTAAAGTTTGTTAGACTAGATTCAGAATGAACTCATTTTTGTTTTGTTTTGTTTCTGGCTGTTAGTCTAAAGCTAACTTGGGACCACTTATAAGGAATTCTTCTGAAAATTCTACATGTTACCTCCTGTATGAAAAGGGTATTTCTGTAAACTATCCCCGGTTATGTATGAGCTGCAGGGATTGTTCCACGTGTTTCTTTTTTTCTCTAAATACTTTTCAGTTGTAGGTAGACACATACCTTTATTTTATTTATTTATTTTTTATGTGGTCCTGAGGATTGAACTGAGCCACAACCCCAGCCCCTGTTCCACCTATTTCTAGTGGTCCTTTCTCCATCTTTGACTGTTTCCCTCATCCACAAATATAAATCATTAAATCATTATCATACATACTCAAGTGGTTCCTCTGTGTATCTTTAGAGCCCTCTGTGTGTGCACCTTCTATTTGATATTTTGTTGATGGGTTTCTGTTCTGGCGACTAAAAGGCTCAGGGGTTACTCCAGTTGAACTGGGCTGACTGGGCTGCGCAAAATAACCACACAAGAGACACAAATACCTTTTTCTTTGGAGTTGCTGTGACGGCTCCTCTGACTTTAAGGGTCCGCAGAAAGAGAGACAGCGAGAGCACACACTAACCCCTTTTATTGAGGAAAGCTATTCAAATGAGGCAAGGGGTCAGGTTTCAGGGGACTGAGTCTATCTTCATGATGTCCACTGTCAGCAGGTTGACTGACATTTGGGTAGGCCACATCCAAGGGCACAGTAAGAGAAGGGGACACACATACAAGGCACTTCCATGGAAGATTCTATCCTAAACTGGGCAAGGGGTTATATTACAAAGGAACAGGTGAGCATAGCTTCACCCATGGGGCTGTAGCAAGACACACCCATGCACGAGACACCAACCCTCCCACCCAAGAAGAGTGGGGAAAGCTCTGCCACATTTCTGTGACTGAGTGCCTCAGCACCTAACCGGGGAGTGTGACTCAGTCATGTGCAAGGTTGGTCTTCCTCATTTTGTCTTACAAATTCTAAAATGTTTCCTTAATTCAGAAGAGACCACTGAACTCTGATTTCCTCCTATTGTTTCTGGAAACTGTCTCCTTGTAATAATCGGGGAGAAGGGCCATCAAGAATCCTACTTCGCCTGGGATAGAGGGGTTTCCTGGGATTGACTGCTTTCAGAGATTGAATGGCAAAATTTCCAGGTAAACCAGGAAGAGTCAGTTAGGCGCTATGAGATAATTTACTTGTTTCAGGGATCATTTTGACATTTGTTCTGTAATTATATTCATTCTGCTATTACTGAATCATTGACCTCCTCTCTTTCCCTTATTTTTCTCCTTCTCTCGAATTTTAGCAATTTAATTTGCTTTTCCAAACATTTTTAACACCTTTTTAATAACCATATCTTTTTGGTGTTATTACTTACTGCTTCTGTTTCATGAAAACAGTATGTTTTCTCCCTAAGAATGTGATGTTATTGACCATCTAGATTGTAAAGTGACTCACATTGTCCCATCTATTTCTTAGGTGAAAATTTGTCTTTTTTGTTTTTGTTTTTTTTCTCCTGTTGGTAGTCTCTAAATGTTTGATTGATCCTTGTGAGCTTGTCTTTGCACTTCAAATTCCCTCCTTTACCTTTCATTGCTTCTGCAGCTTGCTTTAGGGGAGAATCCAACATAGCTGCTTCAACTTGTTTTCTACTGTGTTCAATGAGAGTGAGGACTGATGAAACCCATCCATAGGTAGAGTCCATTGCCATCGACCTTTTTTTCCTATAATCAGTAACAAAAGGACATCTCTTCAGTTTAGGCAATACTCTCACTGGAAAATAGATGTCCCCATTACAGCTGCATTACTTTAACAAGAGAGAAGGTTGATATTCCATGATTGTCTGTGTCTGTGACCCTGTATTCACTTGGGTTCCACTAATAGGTCCACCACCTGGGCCTGGGAATCCTCTGGATGATGCTCCCTAATACATTCCTGCTGTCACTAAGTTTTTCAGTCTTATTCCTTCTGTATTATTTTTTAGAAACTTCTCAAAGTTTCTGGTCAGCTAAGATTTTCCTAGTCACTTTGTTTTGTCTTATTTTAAACAGGGCAATGTGTTCTTGAATTGTTTCTTTAAAATACATTTTTCATTCTTTCCAGGATTTGGAGCACATAGTTAGGGATGGGAGTTAGTAGGAGTAGAGGACGATAGGCTGCTTTGTGTGCTCAGTTCATCAAGAAATCAAAACACAGTTTCTTTTCTGTTCCACATTAGTCCATAATTTGATTTGTGCTTATTTTATATCCTCCCCTGAAATACAGCACAGTGCTGAGTATTTAGTGGAGACTCAACAGATACCTGATAGGATATTTTATTTAACTTTTTTAATTGGTGCATATTAACTATACAGAATAATGGATTTTATTTTGGCTTATTTGTGCATGCATATAGCAATTCAAAAATAATATTTCTTTTGCTCTTAAAGCAAAATTTTAGTTGGTTTTGTTTGTTTATTTGTTTGTTTGTTTAATGCATCTTCCCTATCCCCACCTCAACTACTAGGCTGGAATAGGCATTAACCATCATTATGACTTTAATTATTTAATATTTGAGTGGTTTTATATTTGGCATAGGAATTGGCTTTTGAGTGAGGCTAGTGTACATTTAGCCCTGGTTCCTCTTTTTGAAATCACCAGCATCTGTGCGCTTCTCCCTCCACTTCTTTTACTTCCGTTTTTTTTTTCCTGCTTCTGTCTCATTTCTCCTGGTTGCCATCACTATCTTATTCCCAGTTATCCTTCTAATCCTGTTTTTCTGGTAATCCATAAAAAGAAATAGAGATTTGTATTTTTATTTTTCCCTTTTGGAAAAGAAGATAMATTTTTAAGGGGTTTTAAGCTATATTAGGTTCAGGTGATATTTGGTTAATGATTTGGAATCGTATAACAAAATTGAAATTCTGTAGYAATGATGTGAGTTTAAATATTAATAATCTATTTCAAATAAACATTTCCAAGCTATGTGAGAGATTAACCCTCACATATTGCTTATCAAATGTGGGTTTTTTAAAAATATTTTTTAGTTGTTGGTGGACCTTTATTTTTTTAATTTATATGTGGTGCTGAGAATCGAACCCAGTGCCTCATAAATGCTAGCCAAGCGCTCTACCACTGAGCCACAACCCCAGCTCCCTCAAATGTGTTTGTAGAACACATTTTACACAACAAATTGTCTTTACTAAATATATTCATTAAAGACCTGAAAAACAATTAGAATTTATTTGATACATGAGATTATGGTTAATATGTTCCTTAACTGTATTTGACTTAATAAATTTTTTTTGTTTCTCTCTGAAGATTTCATGTTAAATTTGTGGTCTTTGAGTTTATGTTGAATTTCTCATCAGGGAATACTTACATACTAAAATCCTCTCATGATATGTCTACTGGTTTTATTTGTCTTCTAGAGTTCACATTTACCAACCAAGAGAAGGTGAAAATGAGCAACCGACGGAAACGCGCTCTTCCAGTGAAGGTAGATGAAGAAAAGCAGCAGCAGCTTCGTTGGAACATGCATGAGGACAGAAGGAATGAACCACTCACCTTAACTGATGATGAGCAGCCCTGCCCAGGTGCAGAATCCTCTCTTGCTGATTGCATCATTCTGGATGAAAGCCCACAGGAAGAAGTGGTTTACAGAGACAAGAAGAGGTGTTCACAGTCTGGGAGTGTCTTGAAACTGACTRAAAAAGAAGAAACCATTGGTATTTTTTCCTCCTCTTCTGTAAAGTTGAGTATTGTGATTTCTCCCTATCATTTTGATAATTCTTGGAAAGCATTTCTGGGAGAAGTAACTCTTAAGCTTCTTCCTGAACAAAATTTAATTGAAAATTTTTCTGAAAGGAGTTTTACATTGATGAGTTCAGAGTTAAGCAATGAGTTCCTGATCTATGTTCATTCAGAATGTGAGGAGGTAAAGAAACAAGAAAAAGGCCTCAAAGAATCAATCAACATTTGTGACAAAAGTATTCGAGTACAATCATCCTTCACTGGTGAACTGTTAGAAGATTTGGGATGGCTGCAAAAGAAGAGAAGAATAAAACTTTACCAAAGACCAGAAGGAAATCACATTATCAAGGTATTCAGTTTCTGTGGTGTCTTTTAAAGTTCTTCTATATTAGCAGTTCATTTTAAAGTTAACTTGGAAAGTCTGAAAAACCAGCAATAAGTCTCTCATTATCAAGTTTCAAATACACTTTATTTGGGGCTTTCAGTAACTACAGAAAATGTATTATAGCTAATCCTTTCTGGACCACTTTTTTCAAGGAGATCCTCCTGATTCTTCTTTCCATCTGTCTTATTATCAATGTCTTCTTTGGGTCCTTATCATCTCTTCCTTACTATAACAATCATTTAACCATTTCTGTTTCCTGTTGTACCTTTTCAGATCCTTTATCTAGTTTCTGTACATGTATACCATGCATGCAGTTCTTTCCTGTCTGAAGAACTAAGTATAATTTTTCAAATCTGCTATACTAGTTTCTCCTTTGATATTTCTTTGAGCCTCATACTCCATCACTCTTTTTTKTTGTTGTTCCAGAAACTCCAAATTGATTTGCTTCCTACAAACACTCTGTCTTTCTGAATCTTTCCTTTTGCTCTCATAATTCCTTCTACCGGATTGTTTTCTTTCCTTTCCCTAGTAACTCTTGGTCATTTGTTAATATTCTGTTTAGAGTTTATTTAATCCATTAGTGGGTTTTAAGAAAACCCCCCCTCCCAGAATCAATTTTTATTTTTATTTTTGCTTTGGTCATTTGTAGTACATTTACATTTTGGTTCACCACCCCCACCTGCCCATATTAGATATATTTTAGTGTTTGATCCAGTAATAAGGATTTCTAAACCTAACTTCATAAGAATTCTAGCATGTGTGTTAGAACCTTCTAAGGAAGTCTGCGCTTTTAATAAACTTCGGTGATTATTCTGATGCTCATCAAGTAAAGGAATTAATGACTTGGCAGGTAGAATTGGATGTTCTCATCACATTCTCCCAGGTTTGGTTTATGTTAAGGAAGTAGTTTTTTTCTAAAAGCTAGACTGGTGTATCTAGCATAATAGACACTTGCATTATTGAAAATGAAAATATCCAGAGGAGATCTGGTAGGTATTTAACTAGTACTTGTTGGGGCAAATACTGTGAATACCTTTAAAAGTGATGAAACTAAAAAAAGTTTTTTTTTTTTCTTATGTCCTCATAAAGAATTGTATATTCCAAGTAGAACTATTTTTTGTTAACAATTCTTTGTAGGTTGGAATTTATATTCTGGAAGCTGGCCTAGCAAAATTAGACTTTTTGAGTGATGCAAATTCAAGAATGAAAAAGTTTAATCAACTCATGAAGAGAGTGATGGAAAAGTTATACAATTTTATTATTCCAGGTAATTTTTAAAGTAAATTTTATATTGCTTTTGAATTGTGGATTTTTCTTTCAGCTCCTATACATTACAACCAGAAAATCAGGTAATGAAAATGATTTAAAAAATTTATATGACCTACATAAAACACTGTGTGGCAAAATTTTACTTATTCGAAATGCCCTTGCTGATATAATTTATTTTACTGTGTTTGCCAAAGTAATATGCAAGTTGAAAGGTAGTCTAAATGGATCTGAGGTAGTTGGATTTTTTGTTTTCTTGTGCACAATTTTATCACAGCCAGAGATTCTTGGCCAGCCTTTGTTCCACCTCTCCTTTGCAGTTGTCAAGAGCTTGGTTCCCATAAAGACCAGATGACTTCACTCTGTTTCTTGGCAGAACATTGTATCCTTGGTCAGAATTGCAGTTTCAGAATTATCTGCCATTGGTGGCCAAGGGAGAGTGTGGATGATTTGGTGCATCCAACAGCACTACTGCAAAACCGCTCAAATTTCTCTTTGAAGAATTGGTAGGGCAACATTATTTCAGTTGGAAATTTTAGAACATTTAGAACATACTGGAGTATTCTAGAAATCAGTTTCTAAGCTTAGTCAATGAGTTGATTCTATAGCATATTATTTCGTAATACTGCTACTAGTAAATTATTTTGCAAGTTAGAGATTTAGTGGGGAAAAATCTCTGGTTTCAGAATTAACAGGAATGCTTTCAAGTACATGTAGATTCTTTAAAGTTATGATAAAAATCTATAATTCTTATAAAAATAATGGATTTTGAATTTTTGGAGACATGGTTTCTAAGGAACAGTTCAAATTTAGATATTAGTACTAGATTGTAGAACTACCTAATTATACAATAATTGAAAATCCTATACAGTGTGTTCTTTTTACTGAAAACAAAAGTGAGCTGTATATTTTTGGTATAATCTTTTTGTTCTAGAGCATATTAGTATGTCCTATGAATTATATAGACCTCTTTGAAACCAATTCATACATAAATGGTTCACTTCACCTTGAAAGAATGACATTTTTGATAAGGAATCAGCTGAAAGAAGTTATAAATTTATCAACAGAGTTTTTATCGAATTGTTCATGTTAGAGTAAGCACAAGTCTTCTTGAATAGGACAGTTGTGCCAACTGAGTGAATCAAATGAATCAGATATTCCTCCCAAATTGACATTTAAGCACTTGTTTCCTAATTAGCAACTGCTTCTACCAAAAGTGTGTCCTTTTTTAGCATGAGAAATAGAATGGGAACTCTTGTCTTAACTTAATATACATAGAAAAATTAATATTTACATATATATATATATATTTCCATATTTTAAACAATAATGGAGATTGGATTCAGGGTTGTCCACCACTGAGCTACATCCCCAGTTCTTTGATTTATTTTTTATTTTAAGACAGGGTCTTTTTAAAWTTTCTAGACTGTCCTCAAACTTGTGACCACTTGCCTTAGCCTCCCAAGTCCTTGGGTTACAGGTGTGAGGCCCCGTGCCTGGCCTGTCCCATTCTCTTCCCCACTACCTCCCACCAATCCAGTTCAAATCTGAAATGATGTAAAAGTGAAATAAGTTATCATTTTGTAAACTTCAGAAGATATTCACAATCAGTTCCTGAGATGGTTATTACATACCCAAAATGGGCCAATATGTCAGCTTGTCTGAAGAGTTATTAAAACAAGACCACCTTTTTTCCTCAGTGGTGAAGGGACAGATACACATAAATATTGCAATATACTGTTATATCAAAATCTCGTGTGGGCAGAGGACGTTAATTCCAGCCAGAGGAAACAAAAGAAAGTGCCATGGGAAAAGTGGATAGATTTTTGATGAATGAAGAATTAATAGGGATTTCCAGTTGTAAAACACACTGAACAAAACCTGAATTGAGTGAGTGCATAGTATATTTTTAGGATAAAAATTGTGTGTGGTTATAAAGGTAAATCAAGTTGTGACTACATTGTTTTTGAATATACAGATGTGTTAGAAGAAGATGATGAAGATTCAGAGAGTGAGCCAGAGGGACAGGACATCGATGAGCTCTATCACTTTGTGAAGCAAGCACATCAGCAAGAAGCACTGTCTGTACAAGTGGATGTCCAGCATCCTGCATTAATCCCTGTGTTGAGACCCTACCAGAGAGAGGCTGTCAACTGGATGCTACAACAAGAGCATTTCAGAAGCACTCCTACTGGTGGCAAGTATAAGATGCTTAACAAAAGGCACCTTGGTTAGAGGGATTGGTGGGGGTTGGCAGTAATCATTAAGCAAAGAACATTGAAAAGATAGGATAGAATGGGTATTATTATGAACAAAATAATTTCTTAAGAAATCCTTCAAAATTGAAATCGACAAAAGTTAATTTGTGGCTTTCCTCATTCAGAAAAGTTTGGGAAGTTTTTTCTTCCCAAAATGAACACAGTCTTGATTGGAATTTTTAAAAACCAAGAAATTTATTTACATAATTTATCAACTAATAGTTGCTTCTAAAATCTGATTAGATGAGAATTTTGCTATTCCTCTACAGGAAACTTCATAATTTGATGTTAAATATTAGGACAGAAAACAAATTTGTAGATGTGAGAGATACATGACTAATTTTCTTAGATTTGCATTTTATTCTTTGCCCCACAAAATAAAGAAAGAAATAAAAKTTCACCTATTAAGTATTTTCATGAAAGTAATAGGTTTATGGGAGACACACACTTTATCACTACCTCAAGATGAGATTTTTACTTGATTATAGGAAGTGTATTAACTATTTAGAATTCTTCCTATATATATTTATTTTACTTAATGTCAAACAGCTGTAATTTCTTCCAGTGTTTAAATTTATACTTTTTAACAAACTTCTTTTTTTTTTTTTAACTTTTCATTTTGAACAACAAATAGCAATTCATTCCCACTACTCTGGTCCCATTCTCTTGTCCTCTACCTCCCACCTACCCAGTTCAAATCTGAAAAAAAATAACATCTGACATCGGAATTGGTTTCTGCTAAGATTCCTAATATGTGGGTTTTGTCTCCTCATTGTTTTTTTTTTCTTTTAATTATTTGTTGAAGAAATTATAGTTCTATAAAGTTTCCCATGTACCATATTACTTTTTCTCTAAAATAAAATATTTTTTCTTTAATTAGTTTTATTAAGGTATAACTTTTATACATTAAATTGTACTGATCTTAAGGGCATAGTTTGATAAGTTTTAATAAATCTATACATCTGTATAGCCAGCAACCCAATTAAAATAAAGAACTAAAGGGTCCCCAAAGTAGCCACAAGCCACAAATGGCTCTTGAGAGTTGAAATATGATTGTTCAGATTCAGATGTACTGAGTTTAAATTCATACCAGATTTCAAATAGTAAGAATGTAAAATATCTTAATTTTAATATTGATTACATGTTAAAACATTTTTTTTAGTTATATTGGGGTAAATAAAATATGCTGTTAAAACTATTCCACCTGTTTCTTCTTTTTATTTATTAATAAAATTACAAATTAAAAATTACATGTGCAGTTCCCATTGTACCTCTATCAAACAGTCCTGATATAAAGTATTGCCATCATTCTGGAAAGTTTCCTCAAACCTCAGTCATTTTTCCTACTTCAACCCCATCAGGAGGCAACCACTGTGACCACAGTTCTGCTTATTTTTGAAACAATGAATGAAATTATAATAAACATACATTTGGGGGAGAAATACGCTTCTTTTGGCATAATGTTGGGATATATCCATCCTGTGTGAATCAATAATTCATTCTTTTTTACCATAGACCACATTTTGTTGATTAAATCCATGTGTACTATTTAGCAGCTCTTCTGTCAGTTATTCTCATTAAAATTTTTCATCTTTTAATCTTTTCATTGTATAAACACTTGTTGATCTGTGTTCCTACTTCATCTGTTAATCCCTTAGGAATGCAACAAAAGATTGCTTGAATTTTACTAATAGGTAGAGGCACACTCCCTCCTTGAAAGTTGGCTTTAACAAGTTAAAATATTAAGAAGAAAGATGGTGGAAGATTCTGATGAAAACAAACTTGAGTACTTTTATGTATTATAGTTTTAGATGTTTTTAACTTAAATAATCCTTTTCTGACTCTCTGACCCATGTAAGAGGTCAGGTAGGATTCAGATAAATGTACTAGTGTACTAGCATATGTCTGCTGAGTTATTTTAAAACAATGGAACTTCTTGAATGATTTATACAAGATAAGGAATTGGTTATATACAAGATAGGAATTGGTTATATACATTAGGTTTTTTTTCCTGTTAACCTTGTGTAATTTGCTACAGTTAACTTTTTCATTTTTTTTACTTGCTTATATGGATTTGTGCTCAAAACAAAAAAATTAAAGAATACTATTAGAAAAAAAGGCTTGGAGGGATCCTTAGTTTTTCACCCATGTGTTAATTATGTAGTTTTTCCTGATTGAGATTTCTCACCATGGGTCTCCAAAATGAGTATCCTAGGGTATCTGGACTTCTTACTAACAGAAAGAGAAACAGATTCATTCTTATGGTTATTTATTTATTTATTTATTTTAGATAGTTCCCTGCACTACTTATGGCGAGAGATTGTTACATCTGATGGTTTGAAACTCTTCTATAATCCCTACACAGGCTGGTAAGGCAAAATTTTATTTGTGTGCTTGATTTATAAATAAATGTAAAACTAGCTTGGCATGGTGGTACACAGCTGTAATCCCTGTGGCTCAGGAGCCTGAAGCAGGAAGATTGCAAGTTCAAAGACAGCTTCAGCAAAAGTGAGGTGCTAAACATCTCAGTGAGACACTTTTTCTAAATAAAATACAAAATAGGGTCCAGGATATGGCTCAGTGGCCAAGTGCCCCTGAGTTCAATCCCTGGTACCTCCAAAAAATAAAAATAAAAATAATTAAATGTAAAACTATATGAAATAGTAACATATGTTCTCAGTTTTGGCAGTACCCAAAAGGTCTTATTAGACATTTTTATAGATAGGATATATGTAGAATTAATAGTACTTGTCATTTTTCAGTAAATGAATACAACATAGTAGACATAAGGAACTTAGTTATCAAGATTTAAAGAGACATTTTTATTTTAATAAAAGTTATTTTGTTTACTATGGGCCAGTTTTTAGATTTGTCATGAGATATATCAATTTATAAGAGTTTTAGGAATCATTAACATAATTAGTCAGTAGATATTGCCCTTTATTTATTTTTATTCACAGATTCATAAGGGTCACAAAAGGACATGTTTTCCTTTTAATTATAAAAGAAAAAATGATGAGTATTTACCAATACCACTTTTGTTTCTGTGAACTTATTTGTTAGCTCAGGCAGTTTTTATTACTATTATTATTTTTATTTATTTATTTATAGTTCTTACATTTTCTATTATTATTATTTTTTATTTATTTACAGTTCTTACATTTATGATCTATGAATTTGAGTTGTTACATGCTCAAATACAGCTTCAGTAAACTTAGGCTTTTATGCATCTCGCAGTTCTCATTAGGAACACTAATTAGGAAAGTGTAATTTTATATACATTACTATGATATATTTTGCTTGATTGTTTTTTTTTTTYTTTTCTCTTTAGCATCATCCGTGAGTACCCACATTCTGGGCCACAGTTGCTTGGTGGAATCTTAGCAGATGAGATGGGTCTTGGAAAGACAGTGGAGGTTTTGGCTCTTATTCTGACGCATACTAGACAAGATGTCAAACAAGATGCTCTCACTCTTCCTGAGGTAGGAGGAGTACTGTAGTGCTTTGGAAAGTGAGGGACATATGTTCTCAAAAGGCATCATTTGTTTAACATATGCTTGGCACTCAAATCAACACTTTCTGTTCGCTCTGTGGCTAATGATTTATATTAGTGGTTAGTTAACTTCAAGTGGGCACAGAGAATGGGATGTTTGTGACCTGGCAGGGTTTTCTCAAGTGATGTTGGCCAACTAGGAAGAGGATATGTGATCACTTACCAAGCATCCAAGCAGTTGGCAAGGAAACTACTACTGATTTCTTAAATATTTTGTTACTACTACAAAGATCCACATTAACATTAAATATCTTAAAATTGCTATTTTAAAAAGTTAATCAAATCTCAGATATGTAAATTTTAGAATTTAATAATTAGAACTTTGTTAAAAGATATAGGTAGCTTAGTAAATAGATTGTTAGATGAAATAAACTCTTAAGTTCTTGTCCCAAAATATGTACATATTTTTAAAAATAATGGCTAATTGTAGGTTCTGAAATAAAAAATAAGGTTTATATGTATGAATAGTGTATTTAGCCCTTTTTTTCATAATTATTTTCAGCTGTTTTGCATTTTCTTAATGGAAGGARTATTAATTTTAATAAACACTTCAGAATACTGGAAGCAAATATGTGACTACTGAATGTTGTTTGTATCAGGGAAAAGTGGTGAATTATTTCATCCCATCACATTGTTTTGGAGGAAAAGTAAAAACCATGGAAACCCAGAATATGGAATTTGAACCAAAAGAAAAAGTTCATTGCCCCCGTAAGTATGGTATTTCTTAAAATGCCTTCTTAAAGTGATTTTCATTATAGTTCTTAGAGATATCTTGTAATTGWTACGAATAATTGTTTCTATAGTTGTTTATACATTGTATAAATGGGCTTAATTACAAGTCAGTATCTTAAGAAAAAATTTTAAAATATTAATTTGTTCGACTTGATCCAGGTAGTTCTTGCTTAGTCTCTTTTGCTTAAATTTCTTTAGCATACAATTTGAACCCAGCTTTGTTTATTCATAAGGATAGCTATATTAGGTTCTTGTTAGCAAATGAGTGTTTCCCTAACTAATGATAGCATATACTAAGTAATTATGAGAAAGTCAACACTTTCTGTTCTTTTATAATTTTGAATTGATTATTGTATTTTAAGACTAATAAATTAACCTTAGTAATTCTTCCCTACATTATTTCTGTTGCAGTGATTTTTTTCTTAGTATATTGAGATAAATTTTTTATTATATATTTTTCAGAGTATTACTGWATAGTAATAAATCTTTGATTTATATTTTTCTTAACACAGTCCTTAATGTAAATCAAGCTGAACTGAGTTTTGTTTCCCATTTCACTTTTATTTATTTTGACTGAGTTAGGATATTCTTTTGCATTTAGCTACGCGGGTAATGATCCTGACAGCTGTGAAAGAAATGAATGGGAAAAAAGGAGTTTCAATCCTTTCTATCTACAAGTATGTCAGTTCTATATATAGATATGATGTTCAGCGAAACAGAAGTCTTCTGAAACGGATGCTGAAGTGTTTAATTTTTGAAGGTCTTGTGAAACAGATTAAAGGCCATGGTTTCTCTGGGACTTTTACATTGGGAAAGAATTACAAGGAAGAGGACATATGTGATAAAACAAAAAAACAGGTACCGGAGCATTTATTAAATACATATATGTCTGTGTGATGTCTTATAGAATAAGTTGACAAATCTCCTCTTGACAATGACAAAGAAGCTCTCATAGTCTAAAGATTTAAAAAAAAAAAAAGCTAGTTAAAAAAAAGTAGAAATTTGGTTTTGGTTATCATTAAATCCAGAGGAGAATTCTTAGCACATCACAAGTACTCAAGTAGGTGTGAATTATAAAATTGTTGATTAAACATAATACAGAGTTTTGGATCATTTCTCTCTTCTCATCATGCTGCTGTCATTGGTTAAAATGTTTGTGCATACTTTAAAAAATACTTATGATACCTAAAATTAACATATTACATTGTATACATTTCAAATCTTTTATATGAAATTCTCATTTCCATGTTATCATCTTATAATTTTTGCATTTGGTTATAAAGTTGATTTCATTGATCCAACAATTTCAATGTGATTTTAGGAAAATAGAGTATTTGCCAACAAATGAGTAAAAGACTAATGATAACAAGTCAAAATAAGCCATTGGCTTGGTTACTGTAAAAGAAAAAGTAGGAAAAAAATTTATTTCCTACAGTAGATAGTGTATAGTGTTATCCCCAAGTGGTATAGAAGACTGGAGTTAACTGCTTTTATCAGTCCTGCTGCCACCAGAAAAAAGAAAAAAAAAAGTCCTCTAGTTAATACCATTGATTCTGTGTTAAGTATCCTAACTCATCTTTGATCTTAGTTCTGACACTGCTTGGAGGAAGCTATCTTGTCACCTACCTGTTTGTCACACTCCCCCTACCATGTATTATACACCCTTATAAGGCATTGCTATTGCATCTTTTTTTTTTTTTTTTTTTTTTTTTTACTATCCTGAGACCTGTTAAGACCAGGGACCAAATAATTGCAAGATGACACAGGCAGAAAATGGAAAGGTAGAAGGAATTTATTTGTTAATTTTAATATTTAGTAGATTAACTTACTTTTTTTAGAACTTGGTTCTTTTGTAATTGCCTGAGTTTGGATATGTACATTTTATCAACTTAAATATACACATATTATAAGATATTAATATCAAAAAGTCACTAGCTCTCTTTATTCTTCTGTTCTTTATTCCTTGCAAATTATACTGTACAGGAGTAGATCCTCCTTCTTGATTCCCTGCAGACTACTGAAAAGTAGATTAGAAGCCATTTATCAGAAATGATTTCTCCTCAGGAAAAAAGACTAGCCACTGAATTTTTTTGTAAAGAATGTACATGAAGTTGTGAGTTTAATTTCAAAAATATAGCTGTGTTCAAATAAGGTAATTAAATTATATTTTATTCATAGACAGTAGGAAGTCCAAGGAAACTTCAGAAAGAATCCAGGAAATCAGGAAACAAGGACACAGATTCTGAATACTTGCCATCTAACACCTCTGATGATGATGATGATCCTTACTATTATTATTATAAAACCAGGAAAAATCGTACTAAATTGAGGAAAAAGCCTATTCCATCAAAAAAAGAAAAAAGTCAGCTTTACGTCAATCCTGATTCACAAAGTCACCGTCCAGCCTCTAGTGAATCTGTAATTACTGATATTACCATGTCTGAAAGTACATGTGTATCCGAAGTCAAGCAAGAACAAGAAACAGAGGACCATGCTCAATCTCTGAACCTTACTGATGAGATGCCACATTCTAATATTGTGATTCCCTATAATACCTCTGATTATCGCTTTGAGTGCATCTGTGGTGAACTTGATGAGATAGACCATAAACCTCGTGTGCAGTGCCTGAAATGCCACCTGTGGCAACACGCAAAATGTGTGAATTATGAAGAGAAGAATGTAAAGATTAAGCCGTTTTACTGCCCCCACTGCCTTGTTGCAATGGATCCAGTATCAACAAGGGCAACTCTGATCATTTCTCCAAGTTCCATCTGTCACCAGTGGGTGGAAGAGATAAACCGGCATGTGAGGTCATCATCTCTTCGAGTCTTGGTGAGGCAGTGTGGGCTAAAGAGGGATAGAAAGATGTAAACTTTTGTTCTTTGTAACAGTTTTTGTAATCTTTTTTTTTAATTTGTCCCTCAAATTAACTTATTGGTATATAATAGTAATATTAAATCAAAGCTTTAAAAGGAAACTGAAAATAAAATATAGAACAGGGGACTATCTTTCTGACCTAAGAATCTCCAGAGTCAGAAGCACTTTGAGAATGAAAATGTGAAAGCTTTTTAAAAATTTTTTGACCATATAAATGAAAAAGAGTTGGTTTAAGCATTTATACTTTCAGAGAGAAATACAACCCAGAGGCAGCATTATGTAATTGCAGCTATCTGTCTGATCTGTGACTTTTTAGCTCTGGAAACATTCTCTGAAGATTTTTTTTTACCTATGCAGAAAATATTTATTGAGCATCTATTATATGTCAAAAATTGTACTAAGTTCTGAAATGGTATGTCACAGACCTGATATGAAGATTAAATGATATGATCAAGTACAGACAAATAGTAAATAGGCATTTTGTTTACTAACAATAAGTACTCTTCTCTACCTTTGTTCTTTCCATGCAAATATTTTAGCTTTTTTATATTTCAGTCACTATCTAGGCATAGAAGAAAATACAGTAATAAAGAAAGCACAGTTTTTGCCATTGAGAAGCTCTGTTCTGTGTGGATAGGGAAAACTTTGGATTGAGTCTTACCTCTTATAGTTTTGAGTAAACCACTTAATGTTTCTATGTGTGGCATAGGAGTAAGAACAACAACTAATGGAATTGTTATTGAAGTTTGAAGATAATGCTTAGCATAGTGTCTGAAACATTAAAGGCATTTGGTAGATAATAGCTCTTACTTTTTCATACCATTATGTCCTCACACAGCTCTTGTTTCCTGCTACCTACCTATCATGTTATTCCTTTTTCTTTTTCCACCTGCAAGAACTCCTATATTTAGGAGTATACTCTTCAAAGTATACCTCAAATTTTAATTTCTCTGACTATAACTTCTCAGCCACAGAATAGTTATATAGTATATATTATATTATATTATAATATATATTATATAATATTATATTATATAATAGAATAGCCACAGAACAGCACTGTGATGCTAACCCATTTACTTTTGTTATAGGTCCTTTTACATTGCTCATGTTATTTGTCTTCCACTACACTGAAATGTGTCCTTCTTTAGACAGGTATTCAAATCTGTCTCATAGCATGTATGATCTTTGGCAAATAGAAAGGGCTTGGTAAGGATATGAATAAATGAACATTTCATTTGTCTTCAAGTTTTTCTGCAATAACTGTGTTGGTGCTGATTGTTTCTTTAGGTATATCAAGGAGTGAAGAAACATGGCTTTTTACAACCTCATTTTTTGGCAGAGCAGGATATAGTTATCATTACCTATGATGTTCTTCGTTCAGAACTAAACTATGTTGATATCCCACATAGCAATAGTGAGGATGGGCGTCGCCTACGGAACCAGAAACGCTATATGGCCATTCCCAGCCCCCTAGTAGCTGTGGAGTGGTGGAGGATTTGTCTTGATGAAGCCCAGATGGTTGAATGTCCTGCAGTAAAAGTAAGAGTCTGCAAAATCATTTGAGGACTGGGGAAGAAAGGGAAACGGAATTAGGTGTACTTAAAAGTTTAAATCCTAATGTATAGTTAACCCACAGTATTGATATTAGTTGAGAGTTTGCTGTTAAACATCCTACATTTCTTTTTCTTATGTGCTAGAAACCTTTGGAATTATTTTAATACTCCATGAGTCATTGCTTTATATGAAAATATTCATAAATATTTGGATAAGATGTCAATCTGATGCAAATCAACTAAACTGTATTTAAGGACTTTTTAAAGAATTTCTCCTGACAGGAAAGTCTACCATACTGGTTCTGATAAGCCAAAGTTGACTTTGGCAGTTTGGTTTCACTTGTCAAGAGATCAGATATTTACAAAAATATTCTACTTCAGAGGTCAGAGTTTTGATTCCACCTTTATCATTTATCTTTATTCTGTYTGCTTTCTTTGACCAGTCTTTAGCCTGAGCTGAATTTATGTATCATATTCCCCTACCACAGGTTTACATTTGGAGTGTAGTGTAAGAGATGTATTAGTCTTAAGATTTTTAATTCTCTGCATACTTAAACTACCCCTGCAGTTTAGGGTGGCACCTGGCAACCTTCCATTCAAGACAACAACTGTATTGGAAGATGACCCATTGATGACATTCAACATTGAGCATGATAATTGTTAAATAAAAGCCAGTGTGTCCCACCTGAAGTATAGCTTTACTATGTTCATGAGTAAATGTATGCCTGACTTCTGCGTTGTTCCTGTGACTTTTTTCCTTTCTTTTTCTTTCCTATTTCTCTCTCACCAGGCTGCAGAAATGGCCCAGCGTTTGAGTGGAATTAATCGGTGGTGCATCAGTGGCACTCCGGTGCAGAGAGGATTGGAGGGTAGTGTATATCACACATTTTACATATATTTGAAAACTGTTTTTGAGGGGGAAAATATTATCATGCTTAAGTTTTGTTAAAATCTATACTTTAAGTGAATGTGTATTTAGAGTTCACTCCTAATAGCTTCAAGCATATATCTTTCAAATAGAACTTGGGTTATTTTTCTGTTTTTAAAGAAATTGCTTTATTGCAACTATTGTACTTACATTACAAATATAGATACTGGTCTGAAGTGAGTTCCATAGTGGTAGGTAGAAAATAGAAAGGATCTGACCAAAAAGAAACCAGGGATAAAAATTAATTGCATTTGGCTGCCTTATTAAAATAGGAACCATAATGTTCATTGTCTGAATTCATAAGTAGTGAGATTAAAGTTATACTAATTGTAAAAGTTACAAAATACTAATAGCTTTATACTGCCATGGTATATTCATATACTATTATCCCCTCAACCATTCTTCTGTTTCTTCCCTTCCACACACACATTGTAATCTCACTCTTGTTTGTTCATAGAAAACCACMACACTATTGAAGTATTTATTCAAGTTGTGAATATTTAAATTTGAAATTTTAAGTAAATGTTATTTTATATAAGAAATTTCCTAAAAAGTTATCATTAAAATGTAGTAGAAAGGGCTGGGGATGTGGCTCAAGCGGTAGTGCGCTCGCCTGGTATGCGTGCGGCCCGGGTTCGATCCTCAGCACCACATACCAACAAAAAAAAAAGATGTTGTGTCCGCCGAGAACTAAAAAATAAATATTAAAAATTCTCTCTCTCTCTCTCACTCTCTCTTTAAAAAAAATGTAGTAAAAATATAAAATTTAAATATACCTAGAGTCCAGTAATATTTATTCATCTTTGTTATGGTTTAGTGTTTTGATTTTGGTCTTCCCCAAAATCTCATGTGTGAAACTATGCAAAAAGGTTTAGAGGAAATGATGGGGTTCTAAGAGCTTTAACCCAGTCAGTGGATTAATCCCAGGATGGAATTAACTGAGAGGTAATTGAAAGCAGTAGGAGGTGGCTAAAGGAGGTGGATCATTGTGGGAGTGCCTTTGGGGTATATATTTTGTATCTGGCAAACAGCCTCTCTATGCTTCCCGGTCATCATGTGACCTGCTTCCCTCTGCCACAGTCTTCCACCTATGGACTTAGACCTCTGAAACAGTGAGCCCTCAAATTAACCTTTCCTCCTCTAAAGTTGTTCTTTTCAGGGCTTTTAGTCACAGCAGCAAAAAGGCTGACTAAAACAAACTTATCTTTCTGAAAATTCAGGGTTTCATATGTTGCATTTGATTTGAACTGTATAACTTTTTATTGTGCAAAAAAAAAAAAAAAACTTCTATTACTATGACCTGGAAAAAAAGTGGGTTTTTTTTTTTTTTTAGTATTTTGAATTTTATTGAGGTATAAATGACATATAATAAAACTGCTTAAAATGTAAAATTTGGAAAGTTTTTGTTTATGTACATACCCATGACTCTCTTATTTCCACAATAAAATAATTATACCCAAAGTATCCTCATGCCCCAAGTCACCTAAGAAAAAAGCAGCTTTTTTGAAACTTTCTGGAATTTTGCTTGTCTTTCCTCTTTGCTTTCATACTCTGTAGCTTCTTTAACTTGATATATTCTAAAAATCGTATTTTTTTTTTTTAGTCGTTATATTGAGATTGCTAGTTTGCCCGTGACTTACTATGTTGTATCAGAGAGAGAGGAATAGAGAATTCCGCTCAACAGAACATAAACCCCAAAGACACATCCCTAGGAATCCATCTCCTCCAACCACTTCCTGCTTAGAGTAGTATTTGCATACTGATTGGGTTAAGGCTCTCTTAACCCAGTCATTCCACCTCTAAACCCTTTTGCATTGACTCACACATGAGCTTTTGGGGGGACACCTTACATCTAATCATAACAAATGTCTTCAGATGTTGCCAAGTATCCCTTGGGGAGCAAAATTGCACCCTTTCACGTCTGCCTCAGTTGAAAACCTAAACTCATAGAGATAAATTATACTTAATGATCTATTAATTAGCAATAACTAAGAAATCTTACAAATCTCAAATTGGCCACATATTGAACAAGGAAATGAAGGTAAAGTGTTTTCATTCCATAATTTGCCAGGCCTTTACTGTGTGACTGATAGCCAGCTGAAATACTGTCAATCTACTTGCAAAGTCAAGTAGGCAAGAAAACTGCCTACACTTCAAAGCTTTGGGAATATCTAAACCTAGGTTCACATCTTGACTTATTAATTATATGTTTATAAACAAATTGATTAAACAGTCAAATCTTTATTGTCCTCATTTGTAAAATAATGTGTTTTCCATACGAATTATAATGAAGAATACAAAGCACTTAGTACGCAGTACCTGGCAGATGTTAAATATTCAGTGAATGATAGCTACTTCCACTTTTGCTTTTGTTTTTATTTTTGACTTATGTAGTCATTTATTTATTTTAGTTTCTTTGAAACTGTTGACTTTTGAATAAGTTCTTTGTAGTGCATTTATCATTTCATTTAGTTTCTGTAACGTATCATGGTGAACATAAACAGGCAAAGTCTCCCATATTATTGAGCTTATACCTTAGATGGGAARATATGTTTATTAAATACTTACACAAAAATTAAACTGTAATCAAGATAACTTTCACCAATGAGAAAATTACAAAATTCTAACTAACACAGGTTTTATAAAGAAGATATCACGTGCTAAGGATGCAGAAGGGAGTAACAACTGATCTGAGATCCAAAACATAAGCTAGGTTTAGAGGCAAAGGAAGAATTCTCTGTTGTAGAGGAACAGGAAGAAAAAATATATGAAGATCATAAGGTAGCAGGAGACCAAAAGAGGATCAGTGTGGCTAGAATACAAACAGGGGGAAACATGTATTAAGATGCTGAGTAGGTGGGTATAGATGGAATGGTAGAAAACCTTGTAAGCCATAATAAAGAACTTTACTCATTTAGTTTTCTTAAGAAAAAGAGGAGCTTTTGAAAGAATTCAACACAGTGGTTTAGGGTCTTTTGTGGCTAGTTTATATTTCAAAAGAACACTAGTTGCAATGTGGAGAATGGTTTAGAAGACTGGCAGAATGAATATTAGGATGTCAGTTGATTGGCTATAATAAATAACCTAGACAAGTTATGCTAGCACTTTGGATTTAGACTAAGGTTGTTCTTAAGAAATAATGAACAATAGATAAGGAAAAAAACAAGACTTGATGATAGATAAGGAGATGCTGAGATTTCTGACGTGTAAATCCACAGATGGAGACAATATTTACTTCTGAATAATACTAGAAGAAAGGCATATTTGGGTAATAGATTGCAAATTTGATCATGGCAAGTAGAATCCGAGACACTTTTTTATACCACAAAGAAGGAGTAGCAACATCTCTAGCAATTAGAGAAATGTAAACCAAAACTACTCTAAGATTTCATGTCGTTTCAGTCAGAATGGCAGCTATTAAGAATACAAACAGCAATAAGTGTTGGTAAGGATGTGGGGAGAAAAGCACACTCATATATTGCTGGTGGGATTGCAAATTGGTGCAACCAATGTGGAAAGCAGTATGGTGATTCCTTGGAAAATTTGAAATGGAACCACAGTTTGACCCAGCTATCCTATTCCTCGGTCTATACCCAAAGGACTCAAAAATAGTATACAGTAGTAATACATCCACATCAACGTTTATAGCAGCACAATTCACAATAGCTAAATTGTGGAACCAACCCAGAGCCCTTCAGTAGATGAATGGGTAAATAAACTATGGTATATATACACAATGGAATATTACTCAGCATTAAAAAAGAATAAAATCATGGCATTTGCAGCTAAATGGATGGAGTTGGAGGATATAATGCTAAGTGAAGTTAGCCAATCCCAAAAAACCAAATGCCGAATGTTTTCTATGATAGGAGGATGCTGATCCATAATGGGTATGGTGGGGGTGCATGAGAGGAATGGAGGAACTTTAGATAGGGAAAAGGGGGGGAAGGAGGGAAAAGGAGGTTGGACAGAGGTAGGAAAGACGGTGGAATGAGATGGACATCATTACCCCCAAGTACATGTGTGAAGACCTGAATGGTGTGACTCTATTTTGTGTACAACCAGAGCCGTGAAAAATTGTACTCTATATGTGTACTCTGAATTGAAATGCATTCTGCTGTCATATATAACAAATTAAAATAAGTAAAAAAGGAGTRGTAGCACATGGGTAATGGCATTGATTTGAGCTAAAATATAAATCTAGATTTCTGCATACAGACGGTGATATATCAATTCTTTCAGATGTTACTCATTCCCAAAAACCATGAAAGTAACTTGATTCAACTTAAATATTTGTTGCTTATCTTCAAAAAGATATTATAGGAAGGGTTATAGCATTTTTTTAAAGATAATTTTAATGTCCTTTGAAGAGAGTACATGCTCCTTGTTAAAAATATATGTATGTGCATGTATATACATATATATGTGTGTATATATGTATCTATCTATCCATATTTATAAAACAGAACAGAAAAGCATAAAGCAAATTACACTCACTCATACTCTTCATTTGAAGACAAAACCACATTTAGTATTTTCTATATAAATATTTTTATATTTGCATTCATTGATTGCATAATTTTTATGTTAGTTCCCCTGCCACACACCTGATATTTTATCCTAAGCAGTTTTTATATGTTAAAATATTCATCACAAATAGATAAGTGGAAAACTGCTTATTAGGATATATTAAGTAGGGGAAAATACAATACAATATTGAATGTGCCTAGTCAGGRGATATATAAGAATGACCATGCACTAAAGCTCATGAATGGAAGGCTTGCTAGATCAGAAAAGAACAATAGTTGTTTTATGAGGGTACTATGGTTTATTTATTTTTCTTTATTTTACATTTTTATTCTATAGATGTTGCTATGAATTACTGAGTAAGTCTCATCTGTATTTTTTATTATAGTCTTAGGCTTTTCTCTGAGATTAGGAGGAATTTTAGATAAGAGTGTTCTCTATGTCACCTATGTGTTTTAATTCATAGAAAATACTTTGAACTTTGTAATGTCTATGAGAGTACTTATTTAAAATAGTAACAAAAAAGTATTTAAAAGTTATTCTTAGTGTGCTTTTGGCTTTTTTCTTTTTAGATCTTTTTGGTTTAGTGGTCTTTCTTGGTATTGAACCTTACTGTGTCAAACACTGGTGGGTTCGCCTCCTCTATCGTCCTTATTGCAAGAAGAATCCTCAGCTCCTCTACAGCTTTATTGCCAAGATACTGTGGAGGTCTGCAAAGAAAGATGTGATTGACCAAGTATGTTTTTATCAGTTAAGGGTATTAGTTTAAAAAAAAAAATGGAGTTGGGATGAAAAGTTTAATTTTCAGGTAAAGTCTTTTTATTTTTAACTCCTCATTACAGATCCAGATACCACCTCAGACCGAAGAAATACACTGGCTCCACTTTTCTCCAGTGGAAAGACATTTCTACCACCGTCAGCATGAAGTGTGCTGCCAGGATGCAGTGGTAAAACTCAGGAAGATTTCCGACTGGGCCCTAAAGCTCAGCAGCCTGGACAGAAGGACTGTCACCTCCATTCTGTATCCATTGCTGAGGCTCAGACAGGCCTGCTGCCATCCACAGGCTGTTCGTGGAGAGTTCTTGCCACTGCAAAAAAGGTTTTATTATCAATTTCCTTATCCTGTGGTTTATTAGATTGTAAAATAGACAATATTTAAGCAGTTATCACAGTTTTATTCAGGGACTTAAAATTGAGTTGTCAGTTATTTTTAGTCATATAGTGGTTTTTCTCTGTATGAAGTCTTATTTTTGAATGAGAATCTAATAAAAATGATTTTATGTTTTTTAAAATTTATTTTAGAATTAGGACCATTGTTGGGATTTTTTTAGTTGTTTTTTTTTTTTAATTGGAGTTCTTTTTGCAGTACTCCAGATTTAAAAGGCTTTTGTTTTAATTGTATTTCTTAGTTTCCCCACATCAGGGAATTACATTGCCATTGAATAGTTTCTTTATAATTGTGCTAGCTCTTTGATTWTTTTTTTTCCTTCCAAAATCATTAAGGAATTTGTGTCCATAATACTGTCACCCCAGAAATATTTTTGCAAATCAGACTGTACTTCAGAAATGGCCTATTTTTAGCACTGGCATAAAAAAGAAACTCTTTTAGGTGTCATAGAGATATAAAGAGGATGAGATTTTGTTCTTGCCTTTAAGTAAATTATAGACAAATAGGGAAAGTATCAAAAATTATAGAATCTTCAATATAAGGCATATATGATAAATATCATAAAAGATACATACAAAGTCCTATGGAAACAATTTTATTGCATGGTGAAAATTCAATAGCTTTCTGGTGGAAGTGACATTTGACCTTATTCTTGAAGGATTTTTTTAAATTACATACTAAAAGATATAAGGCTCAAGGAGATTAATTAATTTTAGAGATAGGGTGTCACTGAATTGCCTAGGGCCTTGCTAAGTTGCTGAGGCTGGCTTTCAACTCATGATGCTCCTGTCTCAGACTTCTGAGCCACTGGGATACAGACGTATGCCACGGCGCCTAGCATTCAAATATATCTATATCATATTCTATTTTGTATTTGAGGAATATTTTTCTAGTTCCTTTCTCCCTTGACTAAATAGGGAAAATTTTAAAGAATGATGGGATCAGATATAAGAAAGTCTGCTTTTAGAGTACAAAATAATTAAATTAACAAGCTATAATGGTAAAATGGAGCTAAAGAGAAAAATGCTGTAATGGTATCATATAGACTCTTTTTAAGAGTCCTGTGATATTCATCTTGCATGATGTAACTCTCCCACTGAATTAATAGTTGGGATTTCATTTCTAGCTTTTAACAATCTGCCTTTTCTTTAAGTACGATGACAATGGAAGAGCTACTGACATCTTTGCAGAAGAAATGTGGAACCGAGTGTGAAGAAGCACATCGGCAACTAGTTTGTGCCCTCAATGGCTTAGCGGGCATCCACATTATTAAAGGTAGAAGGTGATTGCTTTGTTATTTCTGATTTTTCAGATACCTTCTGAGGAAGTTTAATTATAGCAGAACCCACCCCCCCAAAAAAAAAAATACACACTACTGATTGTAATTTAAATGTTCTCATTTAAGTTACAGAGAGCAGTTATGCAGGATGGTTCATAAACTTTAAACATTTACAAGTGTTTTGTCTGAACAATTCCACTTTTGCAAGTTTTTTCTTGTTTTTTTTACAGAAATTCAGATATGAAAAAAGATATGGCCATAAGTTGATAATCTTAGTCTTTTATARTGAACAATTAAAAACAATCAAAATGTCTAGAAATAGAAGACTGGTTAAATTTTGACACATTCATAGGAGTATTGTTTATTGATTTTAAAATTTATAAATAAATTCAAAATTTATTTATAAATTTGTTTTTCCCATAAATATATGCCTACAAGGAATGATGGTGGTATATAAAGTGTCAGATGTTTTGGATCTTAAATTCGTTCAGAAGGTGACCAATATGTGCGCGTGTGCACACACTGACACAATGCATATAATAGAACTGCAGTGAGAAATAGACAAATCCATAATTGTAGTTAAGGATTTCAGCATCTTTCTCTAAACGTTTACCAGAGTGTAGATAAAAAGTAAGTACATAGACAAAACTGTTATTCAGTTGACCTAATGAAGAYTTATTTAACACTTTACCCAACCAAAGAGTTGCACATATTCTTTTTGGGTATACATAGAATGCTTACCAAGGTCAGCCATTTTCTGGGCTGTAAAACAAGTAAATAAGCCAAGGATTCAAAATCTTTCGTGCATWCTCTATGACCACAGTGGAATTAAATTAGTTATCAGTAAGAGAAAAATAACTAGAAAGTCTTTAAATATTCGGAAACTAAATAACAACTTCTGAATAATCCTTAGAGTAAAGATAAATCAAAAGCTAGACTAGGATGTATTTTGAAGTGAATGAAAATAAAATATCAAGGTTTGTGAGATGTAACAAATAAGTAATTAAATGGAAATTTGTAGCACTAAACGTTAAAATTTATTCTTGTTATATATTGTTATAGTTCTATTTTTTATTAGTTATCAATCTTTTATGTTTCCTAATTTATAAATTAAACTTTACCATAGGTATAT